CCCAGACCCCAAACCCTAAACCCTAATCCCTTACTAAGTCCCATGATCCTCCAAGTAGACCCTAAACCCTAAACCCCTTATGGATCCCTTTAAGGAGCCGTGTAGGTAAAAGGGCACAAGGGTACTACTGGGGAACCTAAATTACCTCGGCCAGCCGCCTCCGAAGAGCCTCCCTGCAGCTTTGCGGCAATGGCCGGGGGGCGGAGCCTGCGCCATTTCCGACTCAGTGTCAGGGCATGGTTTAGGGTTTAGGGTTTAGGGTTGAGGGTTCAGGGTTTAGGGTTATGTGTGTGCTCTTCTTGCGGCGGTGACGATGGTGATGATGGTGAAGATGGTAATGGCAGTGACTGTCGCTTCTTCGCTTCTTCGCCTATGTCTCATCACTAGGTGGACTCCTGCTTAAGCACCACACTTGCGTTGCTTTCGACATGATTTGTGTTGAACGTTCACGCTGCATTCGAACTCGCTCACAATAATAACCTTACGATCGTGGAGTGCAAGCACTTCTCGGGAGAGATGCTTTCTGAATGGGGCTATTCCTGTCTTGTATGAGGATCCCTGTAATGATCCTGAATTCGAATCGGGTTAAGCCTTTGAGGTTCTTTCTTAGATGAGGATCCCTGCTAATTATGATCCTCACTGCGGTCCGGCCGTTCTTGAATACCCTAAACTCTAAACTCTAACCTTAAACCTTAAACCCTTAAACCCTTAAGCCCTAAACCCTAAACCCTAGAATATCCAGAGTTGCCTGCGGAGGCTGATTTTTGAAGCTTCGAGGCGCAAAGCGATGCCCAAGGTCAGCGTCTAAAGCCTTAATCGGCCTAAACCCTAAACCCCTAAACCCCGAAATCCCCTAAATCCCTAAACCCCTAAACCCTAAATCCCTAAACCCCTACATCCCTAAATCCCCTAAACCCCTAAGGCAAGCCGGCTTCAAGAAACTGCAGGTTGCAATCCTCCTCTAAAGGCGAGGGCTTAATATAGAAGCCTAAATAATTACCAATACTGTTTTGGGGGTTTAGGGTTTAGGGTTTAGGGGGTCCCATATTATAAGTATAGTATCATGGGCCCCCAAAACCTATTCTACTTACTAAGGACCCTAGTATAGAACCCTACCATAGATCCCCTGTGGGCCCGTAAAGATCCCATTGAAGGAACCCTGTTCTAATTCTGAAGGCCCCTGTACCCTAACCCCATATAGTACCCTTTTAATCGTATCCCTTAAGGGAAGCCAGGAACCCTTGTCCAATTCTGAAGGCCCCTTAGAGATACCTTTACAGGGAGCCCCTGCAGCCCCTAAACCCTAAACCCTAAACCCCCAAACCCCTAAACCCTAACCCTAACCCCTAAACCCTAAACCCTAAACCTCGAGAACCGGACCTTGGGAAACCCGAGGTAGCACGGCTCCACTCATTTTTCTGCTCTGCGGCCGTAGGGGCCCTAATAATTAGAATCGGGTTTTTGGGGGGTTCCTTTAAAGGGTTCCCGAAAGGGTTCTATAAGGGCTACCATAAGGGTTTAGGGTGTAGAGGCCTTAATAACTAGAATAGGGTTTTTTGGGGGTTCCTTTAAAGGGTTCTCTAACTCTAAAGGGTTCTATAAGGGCTACCATAAGGGTTTAGGGTGTAGAGGCCTTAACAATTAGAATAGGGTTTTGGGGGTTCCTTATTATAAGTATAGTATAATATACCCCAAACCCTATTCTAACTAAGGCCCCTACATTAAGGGCATGTTGTAGCAGGCTCCAGCAATCGTCGGATTTCGGGATCAGCCACCATCAGGGCTGTGCGCGCAGGCACGTGGGCACCGGCCTCGAGCAGCAACCGCACCACTGGAGCATGACCGTTGTATGCTGCATGCATCAGCGCTGTCCTGTTCTCGTCATCACGCACACACGTCTGAGCACCTGCCGACAGCAGCAGGTGCACCGCTTCAGCATGACCGCACCGCGACGCAGATATCAGCGCAGTCAGGCCCTCCGAATCGCGCAGATCCTTCTGTGCACCGGCGTCCAGGAGCAGCTCCACGACCGAAGCACGACCGTTCCATGCTGCGCACATCAGAGCTGTACAGCGGTCACTGTCACTAACATCCGTCTCTGCACCGGCCTCCAGGAGCAACTGTGCGATCTCCACGTGGCCGCATTCAGACGCCCTCATCAACGGAGTAATGCCATCTTCATCTGTTCGAGAATCCAAGTCCATGGGGAGCTGCAGCAGAGCTTCAACCTGAGAGCTCGAGAAAGCATGGGTGCAAAACGGTGTCGGGGTTTTGTGGCTAGCTTTGCGATTCAAGATGGAGAAGTTTGAGGATTTCAGAAGATGTCATTGCGTCGTTGCCTGTCAGCACATGCCGCGCCTTGGCCACGTTGCCAAAAGCTGCCGCTCCGTAGAGCTCTCGCCACTGCTCCTCCGAAACTTCGGAGAACGCCACTATCAAGAGCTGCAGATGCATCTCGGTTTCCAACTGGACGGCATCATCCAAAGTGTTGCCATCCTGAAGAAGCCTCTGCCTGAAGCGCGGCGGCAGGCCGTGCTGCCGCTGCAGTCGCTGCTTCAAGGCCTTCAGGGCTAGAATAATTATAAAAAAGGAGCCCCAAAATAGCATAGGTGATTCTTGAGGCCCCTGCATTATTCATTACTTAGGGTCCTTCAAGGCCTTCACGTCGCTGAGCTCCGAGAGGGGAAGGCTCGTCAGCTCCTCCCCGGAAAGCAGCGTGATGCGCAGCATTGGCAATGCGCAAAGGGCGGAGCCAGGCTAGTGCATGGCGATGCAGTGTAAGGCTCATGCGATGGGGGCGCTTGGGAGGGGTGGGCGGGGATGCGACTTGGGTGTGCTCCGATATGCGTTCTCAAGAGGCCCCAAGCCGAGATGGGCAGCTAGGAGAAAGAAGATCGTAGGAGAAGAACGACAGCATCCAGTGAAGCGCTCGTATGGAAACCCGTGCCCCTTGCATGCCCAGCACATAGATGTGTGTAGGCAAAGTGCAAAGAAATTGAATGCAGTATCCTGTCCATAACCCTACTTACTAAGTCCCATGGTCCTTTAAGTACACCCAGGAATCCCTTTGAAAAGAACCCCAGGGAACCCTAAACCCTGGGCTGCCCCGGAGCGGAAGACAACCTAATATAAGGGCCTTAATACATTACCTGCACTATTTTGGCCTAAACCCTAAACCCCTAAAC